AGTGAGGGGTACTTGCTAACCCTCTGGGGCCAGGCCAGCATGAAATTCTGCCAAAATTGGGGATTCGAATTCAGAGCTTTGTGCATGCTAGGCAAGCACTCTACCCACTGGGCCACACTCCCAGGCCATTTCACTTAGGGCACCCAGGACAAGCCCAGATCTTGCCTGCTCTTCTCTTTCTCTTGTTTTTCCGCTCTGGCGCGAGTACCTCCCACTCATCCCTACTCATTACCATTGGTGCTTGTTCCATTCATTACGCTGGTTGCTATTCTGGCACCCGAGCGCAGAGCAACTCTGACGTCCTCTCTCAGCCTGTCACTCAGCATGGCCTGAGTCCACTTTACAATGGACACACTGCACAAGCTCCCAAGTGTGGGGTCTGTACAGCAGGAAGCTGAACATGAACACAGCGGGCACATGCCCTGTAGCCATGCGCAAAGAGAGGGCGGCTTTTTCCCCCTTTACATATAATTCCACCCCGGAGTCGGCTGTTTATCCACACCTCACCACAGCCTCAAGTGGAATATTGCCACATTCCCCGGTCTTCTTGATTTTCTTGGCTGGAGTTTTGGGGAATAACATTTTACTACATGTAAATTAACCTCTTCACGGCGCTTTGGGCAAACAGCACAATATCCTCTAACATCAGAGGAACTAGGAAAACGATGCCTGACGGTATTCAGACTCTAGGTTTGGTTGGGGCGTGCGGGGACAGAAAACCTCGGGGAATGACACTGAAGGCGCCTTGCTTGTTGGCTGGCTCCTAAAATCTCCCCAACTCTGAGTTCAAGTCCCTGAAGTCAACATTTTTTTCCCACTGTGGCTTCTGAGAGCTCCTGGTCCCTCTGTTCGGGTACCCTGGCCTCTGGGAACCCATTCTCTGCAGTGCCCCCCACATCTCCACTGTTTTCCCAGAATGCTTTCATTGCCCTGCTGAATCTGATTGGCTTGAGCTGGGCTTGCAGTGACTTGACGAATCTGACCGACTTATTCTGAACAGGTATAGCTAAGGTCTGGCTTTTAGAACACAGATGTAAGAATGAACCCTAGAAAAAGTTCCAAAGTGTTTTAGGAGAGTATACATAGCTAAGATGTCCACATCAGTGCAAACAGACCTGTTTGTGAGCAGCAGCCCTGTGTGTGTGTGTGTGTGTGTGTGTGTGTATGTGGGGTGCACGGGTAGGTGCCCAGCTACGTGCAGAGTGCAAATCCCCACTGGATGGATCACACCAGAGAACTGATATCAGGCAATAGCTGCTGATCCTAAGTGATTATTCCTTTCTCAAAGTTACAGTGGCTCGGCCAGGTACCACTGATGTAAACAGATTAATTAGATAGTGGGTTATTTTACTTTTTTTTTTCCTTTTTTTAAAAGAAATTTTTTTGTGGTTCTGGGGATTGATCACAAAGTATTATGGAAGCTAGTCAAGCCCTCTGCCCCTGAGCTGTACACAGAGCCAGAGAATGAATGGTCTATTCCATACAGGTCTAAAAATCCCATATATTCAGGATAGCTTTGGAAAAAAACATGTATCTTTCTTGGTAAAAAGAAATTACAAACTGAAACTAGCAAGAGATGGCTAGAGTGGCTTGCTTGACTTGGGCTTTTCCCACTTTGTAGTATTTATGGTTTCTAAGGCTTTGTACAGAAGAAAAATGAAAGTTTGGAGTCGTGGTGCCCCCTGGTGATGAAGTGAGGTTATTCAGGAGAGCAGCCCACAGGCCCACAGTTTGTGTGAGGCTCATGGTACTCCTCCTAGGAAAAGGAAAAAAGTGCAGACACAAATATGGACTCTTGAACATTGTAATTCAATGAATGCCCCAGCGACTATTATGCATTTTACATTACTCTCTAATCCTTAAACACACAGCTGCTTATTCTTAAATTCTTTCATGCATTTATTTACTCATTAACGAACAGGTATGATTTGTTTCCCTTGGCACTTCTGGTTTAGTAGAAGAGAGAGTTCTCAAGGAAATGGCCAGAAAGAACTATAGAGTTGCTTGCAGGGGTGGGAGTGTTTAAGGAAAGAGTCTGTACTAGTCTATGCTGCTATAACAAAGACCAAACCCCCACCCCCTGAGACTGGGTAACTGGTAATTCATAAGCAATAGAAATGTACTTCTCAGCATTGTAGAGAAGAACGATCCCAAAGCAAGGTGCTGGAAGGTTCTGTGTGTGGAGAGGGAAGAGGCCTTGCCATCCAAGATGGTGCCCTGCTCCTGTATCTTCTGGAGGGAAAGGACCCTGTGTCCTCTTAACAGAGGTAGAAAATAAAGAACCCATTATCCCACATCTTTCTGTAGTTCACCTCAAACCTGGGTCCTGGGAGCTGTAACCTTTGGGCCAGGCTCAGATGGAAGAGCTAGTGTCTGGCTGCAGTGGTCAGTGTTTGTGTGTGTGTGTGTGTGTGTGTGTGTGTGTGTGTGTGTGTGTGAGGAGGACGACTCATGGCATGCTGACTCGACCAAAGGCCTTTAAGTTCTCTATGTTCCTCCCAGTACTCCACCTCTCCCCACAGTCCTGTAAGGAACCTCAGTAAACCCCTTGGTTCACTAAATTGGACTCTTGTGTCCTTACTTTGTCACCCTGCCTAGGTGAGTAGATGTTTGTCCACGACTCTCCAGGAAAGGTGCCACACAATAATCAGAGAGGAAGTCTGGCCTAGTTTAGACCCTATGTGCAGTGGAAAGACATGAGAATTTCAAACCTTGTCAGGGCAAAATAATTTACACAAAAAAAATTAAGCCAAATACAAATTCTCAGGAGGTAGACTTGACTGCCTGGGGAATACAGTCATGATCCTTGGGCGCCCCCTGCAGGCACAGGATCAAATTACTTCCTGCTAGCGAGATTTGCCCATTCCTGCCATTCAGACTTACGGGCTCCCTTGCCAAGCTGAGTGAGCAGAGCCAGGCTGTAGGCTTTTTGTTTTTTTTTTTTAATTCTTTTTCTTTTTTGGGGGTGGGGGAGGGAACACTCTCATACATACTGCCACAAAACGACGAATGCACTCATTATCCCCGTGTGACATACTCTAAAGCTGGGACGTGTTTGGACACACTAGTAAACATTGGTTTCCAGTGGATTTTGTGTTTTCTGAATCGTTTTTCATGCCTCTCCAGTGGAGTTCTCATGACAGAGTTGTATGTGTTCCTCATCTTTCTGTGCATGCTTGCTGGGGCACACAATCCTTATTTAAGTATTTGGTTTAGTTTGTCTCCTATATCGCTAGATGGCAAGTTATGAGGACAGGGTGTTTTATCTGTTTTTGATATGCAGCATCCCCAGTGCTGGCATCCTCTTGGTCCAATCAATGTGCCACTGGCTATGGAGTCTCCCATGGCCTGTAGCCAAACACTAGCTCTCCCTTCTGAGCTGCTCCAAGGGTTCCAGAGTCAAGGATTGTCTGCGGGTTGTGGTGTTATACAGATGAGCTCTTTGAAAGCGGAGCCACCGGGAGCCTCAGGTGCCGAGATTCAACTTTCTGTGTGCAGCTGCTAAAGAGCAGAGTGCAAACGGCAAAGACTCCTTGGGAGGGTGGGTTAGATCTTCTGTGAGGGGTCTGTGTTCACTTTTCTCAGAGAGCCTGCTGGTAAGCTCATAATGAGCAAGGAATACATTGTAATGATAGGACACAGACTGTAATCAAATGGGTACATACATTACATACTACAATAAACTGTGGGTCATGACCCATGGGGGGGGTCGTCGAAGGACTCTTTCACAGGGCTCACATATCAGTTATCCCGCATAGTAGATATTTTCAGTACAATTCATAACGCTAGGAAAATTACAGTAGCAATGAAATAATTTTATGGCTGGGGGTCACCACAGCATCACAGCACGAGGAACTGTATTAAAGCGCTCGGCGTTAGGAAGGCTGAGAAACACTGCGTTGTAAGCAGACAGGTGAGCTCTGTCCCCCTCCCTCCGCTGCACGCCCTTGTGTGAGGACCTGGCGCCTGAAGAAGCCATGGGAGGGACGGCCAAGGCACAGAGGGCCCAGTCCAGTGCCCAATCCAGTGCCATGTCTTCATTGTCTGTTGCCCAAGCCCATCCCTGTCCCACATCGCTTGCCCCAATGTTCTCAGCTCTTTTCCCTCAGAGCTCAGAGCTCTGCGCGACGACGTCTCAAGGCTCAGGGCCGGTTAACAATGGTCCTGGTTACTGAGGAAAGCCTCCTGTCCACCAGGCCTCTGGGTGGACAGCCTCCTTAGGCTACCAAATTTGAGCGAGCGGCAGACATATTGCGGAACCAGTTTAGTTTTAAATGCTTAAAGGAATTCATTTCAGCTGCCCGTGGTGGAACTCACTTTTGATTGCTGCTCTGGCAGAGGCAAGAGGATCTCTGTGAGTTCAAGGCCAACTTGGTCTAGGTAGCTAGTCCCAGGAAAGCCAGAACTACGTAAAGAGACACCGTCTCCAATAGACAAACAAATACTTAGATAAAAATAAAAATAAATTTAAAATCCAGTTATCTTCCAGCAAGCTATCATATGAGCCGTTGAGTCTGTTATATTGCTCTAGAGCCTTTTGGGGTCACTGCCTTTGGCTTCACCCACTCCTGGCTGCTCATTCCATTCTAGTGTGCCCTCTGCAGTGGCCAGTGGCACACAAGTTAAGGCCAACTTCAAGTGTGGTCTGCAAGCCAGTGCCTTCAGCTTGTAGCTTCTCCCCCCGCCGGCCGCCCCCCCCCCCCCCCCCCCTTTTGTTTTTTCAATGTGGGCGTTGGGTATCGAACTCAGGGGCTCATGCTTGCGTGTAAATACTTTACCCAAGGAGCCGGAGCCACGCCCCCAGCCTCCGTAGCTCCTTTTTAGGTAGCACTGCCACTTCAAAGCTTGTAGAAGAACTGGGAAAAGAATTTCTCCCTCCTCCCGGCCCATCCAGCTGGGTGGCACCCAGCGCTCACCCCGCCGCCTGTGGCTGGACTCTCTGGCCGGATTATCGGCCGCACTTGGTGTTTATGCCGGCCGAGAGGAAAGCCGCCTGTCCCTTTAATTGGAAGGTACCAACTCTTTCCAGGTTATAGTTTCTTCCTGAGTCCTTGTCCTTGGAATTCACCGTCAGAGACCTAGTTAGAAGCAGTGTGGAGATAGGGCTGTGTTTCAGAGGGGCTTGGCTCATCGGGGCCCGAGAGGGACCTCGCGGGGTGGCGCGCGCCCGACTGGTCTTCCCCTTCGCCCCGTGGTCCAGTCCAAGATGGCGGCCACCATGAAGAAGGCGGTGAGTGTGGTTGGGCCGGGGTCCTGGGCGGCGTGGGCGCGGCGATGGGGGGCCGAGGAGATGTGGGGCGGGGTGGGGGCCGAGGAGACGAGGGGCGCTGGTGGCCGGGGGTCTGAGGAGATGAGGTATCTGAGGGCCCGGGGCCACGGGATGCGCAGTGCGGGGAAAGCGTCTAACCTGCCCGGGCTCGTGTGTCTCCTCCTCCGGGACCGGGTTGGTCTCTGCATCCCCGGGGACTCGGTGCCGCAGCCTCTGGGCTCCGTGCACGCTCCGTGCCCCGGTGCCCTTCAGGCGAAAGCTGGTGTTGATTGACGTTAGAGGAGCCGGCCCGAGGGAGTGAGGTGCTTATCCCGGATTTCCCCAACTCCTTAGGAAGGACGCGGGTCCCCCCTTCCCCTACCCTCCCCCCCCCACTCCGCTCCCCGCACTTGACAGTTAGCCATTCCCTGGTGACTCATCTGACAAGGTGCTGTGTCAGGGGATTTTTGTCTGTTCCTAAACCATGGCTCTTTATTACTTAATTATAAAACGGTGTTCCAGTCTGAAGGATGATTTTGAATTTCTGATTCTTCTGCCTCCACCACCCAGCTTGCAGTTACTGGAATTACAGGTGTTTGCCACCACATCTGGCTTTTGGTGTGCTGGTGGGGTGAGTCCAGGGCCTCATTCATGATAGGCAGCTAAACTACATGGCTATCCAATCCTCTTTGTCACACTTTGAGCAACTACATCAAGCGCAGCTTCCACGTGGGCATTATAACCCAGAGGGATTTCCACGTGTGGATTCTAAGTAGGGAAAAGAAAATCGCAGGAAAAAAATGACAGTTGGGGTTCTGCGGTGTGTTCGGTACTGTTCTTAGTGTTTGTGTGTTGTTTATTTTTGTTTACTATTTAAACCTTTGAGGGATTCTGTTTTTATCCTTATTTAGCTGATGAGGAAACTGAAGCACAGAAGAAAAGCTGGGATTTAAACAGCATTCTAACTCCAGGCTCCTTGATTTTAAGTGTGTGTGTGTGTGTGTTTAAGGGGAGTTCCCTGATGAGAGCTACCTGGCTGCACACAGTTGATTTCATCCCACGGTTTTTTTTTTTTTTTTTTTTTTTTTTTTTTGAGACACGGTTTCTCTTTAGCATTGGCGCCTCTCTTGGAACTAGCTCTTGTAGACCAGGCTGGCCATGAACTCGCCGAGATCCGCATGCCCCTGCCTCCTGAGTTCTGAGATTAAAGGCATGCGCCACCACAGTCCAGCTCATCTTACTTTTTAAGACCCCTTGAGAATGTCGTTGGTGTTTTTGCTACCTAGTGACCACCGTAGGGTGATGATCAGCCCTTCCAGTTTATGCAAGAGTGGATGATCGCTGAGACTGGGAAGGCTTCAGTGTTAGGATGCTCACCCTCCTGGTCTGTCACGCACAGAGTGTTAGACAGTAGCAGCGTAAGGTCCAGGACCCTGGTGATTTGGCCAAGTAGCAAACAGGTTCCTCTTGCCTTTTTTTGTTAGATTGGACCCCTAGATGTTATACTGTTTAGTTACATGATAAACAGTGAAGTTTGTGGTTTTGTTTGTTTGTTTGAGACAAGGTCTCACTGTAGCCTTGGTTGGTCTGTAGCAGAGATCAGACTGTCAACTGAAGTTGGTGAGTTTTTTTTTTTTTTTTTCTGGGCACCCAACTCTCAGTACCTAAACTTGGCATAGAGTATGGTTTGCTTCCTCTGACACTCCCAGAAGATGCTACAAGAAAACAGTATCATCAGGGCTCGGGGCATTTTACTTTTCTCTTGGCTCTGGAGCAAATCATGTCTCTTACACCTCGCAGAACTCCCTTACATCTGTTGTGATCCCTTCCGCCATTCTTTCCTTCCCTCGTTTCCTTTCAATGGGGTCTCATTAGCTCAGGTTGGCCTCAGAGTCACTGTGTAGCTGTGGATGAACTTGGACTCTCCATTCTCCTGCCTCCACTTCCTGACTGCTAGGCCGCTGCAGGTTTGTTCCACTACGCCTGTTTTTATACAGTTCTGGGGGGACTCGGCTTCACATGTGCCGGGCGAGCACTTCAGCAGCGGAGCTAGCCCGTATTGAAGCAATACTGAGCAGACAAGGGTGTTACCGTTTGTCGAAGGGTGATTGCACGCCCAGGCCCTGTGCTTGGAACTCATTTTACCATCCCTGCAAAGGTAGGAGTACCTTCTTCATTTCACAGATGACAGACAGATGGGGTGGCTCCAGGGATCTGAGCAAATTACCTAAAGTTCTGCATGCGCGGTTTGGAGTGTGTCCTGCCCCTCTTTCACTGCTGCCTTCGGTACTAGAAAAGAACGGGTCTCAGTAGTTGCTACATCTGGCTTCAGTTAAGACAGGAGTTGCTTGCCCTCCGGGGAAAACTACCAAGACCCTTCCAGAGAATGTGCACGCTGTATCCTGGGTATGCTTACCTTGTGATCTTCGGTTCCAGGATAGCTGTGACTGTGACCCAGTACATCTGTAGATGGCATTGAGTCACAGTGTCCACGGGTTGGACACCCCTGCAGTGCCTGCCTATTGTGCATATGATGTGTGTGTGTGGGGGGCTAAACCAACTTTTTGTTGTCTTTGCATCCCAGTTAAAAGTTACTGTCTCCCTGCCAGAATGCAGTTCAAGAAATGTAGAAAGCCCGGCGGTGGTGGCGCACGCCTTTAATCCCAGCACTCGGGAGGCAGAGGCAGGTGGATCTCTGTGAGTTCAAGATCAGCCTGGTCTATAAGAGCAAGTTCCAGGACAGGCTCCAAAGCTACAGAGAAACCCTGTCTCGAAGAACCAAGGGGGAAAAAAAAAGAAAAGAAAGAAATATAGAAGCGGGGTGGGGGTGGGGCAGCTGTATGGTAGAGTGCTTGCCCAGCTTGCCCCCTTGGTTCTTCCCCTAGCACCTTAAAAAGAAACAAGATGTGTTGCAGAAGCGTCTGCCTTCAGGGCTCACAGGTGCCTATTTCTTAGCTGCTGCTGGCTCAGGGTGAAGCAGCACCCTGCCTTTAACTCACTGTCCACAGTCTTTCACCCTGGGAGAAAAAACACTTCAGGGAACTGGGTCCTAGGGGTGCCAAGTGCCTGCTTGTGGCTGCTGTTTTGTAGGGCTACACGGGGAAATGCCTGCTTTGGGAAGATAGAAAATAGCCAACCAACTTGCAGCACTCTTTGGCATCCAAATATTTAATATTCTGCTCTATCACATTCCAGTATCAGATCAGATTCCAGTTCAGAAACTTCTCTGTCTGCTTGCTTGTCAAACAGGTCCTGCTAGACCAGTGGCTCTCAACCTTTCTAACCCTGCAACCCCAGTTCCTCATGCTGTGGTGACCCCAATCATAAAATTATTTTTGTTGCTACTTCATAATTAATTTTGCTACTGTTATGAATTATAATGTAAATATCTGTGTTTTCCAATGGTCTTAGGTGACCCCTGTGAAAAGGTTGCTCAGCCTCTGTAGAAGGAACGTCGGGCTGCGTTCCTGCCGCCCGGCTCCTGGCCACCTGACTAGCTTATGCCCCGAAATAACAACACACAAATTGTATTCATTTCAACACTGCCTGGCCCATTAGCTCTAGCCTCTTACTGACTAACTCTCACATCTTGATTAACCCATTTGTAATAATCTGTATACCACCACGAAGTGGTGGCTTACTGGGAAGATTCTAACCACCGTCCATCTTGGGTAGGAGAAGCATGGCATCTGCCTGACTCTGCTTTCTTTCTCCCAGCATTCTGTTCAGTCTACTCCGCCTATCTAAATTCTGCCCTATCAAAAAGCCAAGGCAGTTTCTTTATTAACCAATGAAAGTAACACATAGACAGATGACCCTCCTACATCAAACCTCCTCCCACCATGGGAACATGACCACAGGTTGCATTAGTGCCTTTCACCTAAATTACTGTTAAAGACTTCATGGTGATAGAGTCCTCTGTAAATGCCTTCTAGGGCTTGGAGGCTCACTGTGGAAACAAAACACTGTAAACACCCAAGGTAAGCAGGAAGTCTTCAGGGTTCTCCGTCTAGGGGATTGTAATTCTCACAGGCAAAGCAACCAGGATGCCAGTCTCTTTGCCTCGGGGTCTCTCAGTGTCTAGTGCCCCTCCTTGTGTTGATAGAAGCTACAGTGTTGAATCTCTGTGCCATACACACCACGGTGGGAAGGGCTCTTCCGGCACACACTTTGGGTCTGATGACGGCTTAGTGTATGCAGAGCTGCTTCCTAGGACGAGAGCCTGATGAAGGGGAGACCTAAGTTCTGACACCTGTCTCTGTCCAGACCACTGAGCTGTGCTGCCTTTCATCCCCTGGAGAAGTCTGTGTGCGTCCCTCATGCCGTAGCTTACCAGAGACCTGGAGCTGGTGCAGTGTGGTTGTTGAGAGTTAGTGTCGCTGCTGGCAGAAGAACCAGCCGTTCTTACTGTCCCTGAATTGATTAGTTCCAATCTGAGACATTATCTGTAAATGTGAATATATATATATATATATATATATATATATATAAATGTAGCTTCATTGAGAGTCTTTCTTTTGTAAAATGTTTTATTTATTTATTTATTTATTTATTTACTTATTTATTTTGTGTGTGTGTGGGCGCGCACGCGCATATGGGCTCATGAGGGCTTAGGGTGCCCTGGAGCTGGCATTACAACAGTTGTGAGCTGCCTGGGGTGGGTGCTGAGAACTGAGCTCGGGTCCTTTGGAAAAGCAGCAGGCATTCCTAACCATGAGCTTTCTGAGACACGGTTTCTTTATGTATCCAAAGCTAGCTTCAAACTTGTCATCCTCCTGCCTCAGTCGCTCATGCTGAGATGGGCATTATGTCCAACTAGTAGGACCCGTCTTTACACACACACACTTTTACTCCATTTTAAGCGATTGTCAAGTACTCCTGTCCTTATTTTAATAAATACTCTATAAGGAAAGTTGGTATTTAGTTTCCTTTTTGAATATACTGAAACCCCTCTAAGATTCTGAAGCAATCTAAGAACTTCTTGCCACATCTTCTAACTGATTAGGAATTATATACCTGAACACATCTGGGCATGCATATGTATACTTGACTCTGAGGACAGATGGCTGCATTAACATCAAGGTCTAACCATTTACTGGCATTGTGGGTGGCACAAGTTATCTAGGTCATCTAAGAAGTGGTGACATTGGTGAAACCCTTATGGGATGGGGGATTAGTAGGGTTCTCAGCTCTGGCAGTGTGAGCTGTTCTTGGTATTTCATAGATAATTTGTCGTCTCCATACTTTGTCTCCAGCTCTGTCGCATCAAGTATTAGCTATGAAACATTCAATTTCATCATCTTGTAGTGGGCTCACTGCATTAAAATAAATACAGATTCTAACTGTATGAGCTGGAACCGCTGAAGTGCATGGTGACTCTCTAGCCGTGTGTCAGGTTGAGAGCTGGAGCAGGACCGTGTTCCTGCCAGTACAACACGCTCATACGATTTGTACTGCAGAAACAATCTGCGAGATTCACTAAGCGGGGTTGACTGGAACATTTTGTTTCTTGGGAATGTCTTGGTGAAACAGTGACCCAGCTTGGAAAATTCTGCCTTTGGGCAAGTTGTCTTTTCTTTTATCATCGACCCGTCACCATCATCATCACCATCATCATCATCAGGACCTTTAGTCATTGCTTTTTATATTTCAAATATTTGTTCACAATAGTCCTACAGAATAATGGAGAAGATGGTAGAGTTGAGAACAGCTCATGAGCGTGACACATTGCCGTGTCTCATAGCCTTGAGCCCCTCCGCTGTCTTAGCACGTGTGGTGTACTTGCTCACTGCAGCACAACGTAAGCTGCCGACCTATAACTTCTTGATTGAAATTCTACAGAAAACTAAATATCTTTTTCAGGCTGCAGAAGATGTCAATGTTACTTTCGAAGATCAACAAAAAATAAACAAATTTGCTCGAAATACGAGTCGAATCACAGAGCTAAAGGAGGAAATAGAAGTAAAGAAGGTACTGGATGCACACATCTGTTTTAGAAGTTTGTACTGTCACCCTTAACCCCGAACTCTATTTAGCAAGTGTTTGCTTCCTCGGGGCTCCTTGTCCCTGGTGACACTGTCTGTCTGATCAGCTAAATACAAAGTCTGTTTTGTTTGTTTTGAGGTGGAGTTCTGCTCTGTCAAACTGTTCTACAGTTTACCATGTAGCTGAGGCTAGCCTCAAACTCATAGTCCTGCCTCAGCCTCCTGACTTGTCTGGTTATAGGTGACTACAGGCCCAGCTCAAGAGGTCATCTGTGCTCCTAAGGGGGAGGGGGGACAGTGAGCGAGACTCCCAGTGCAGTTCTGTACCCGTGCCTGGGGACTTGCCAGGGGATAAACTGCTCTTGTGTTTACTGATCCTGGAGCCCTACAGTCAGACGCAGGGACATGCTGGCTCCTGAGCGAGTCCATGGACACATCTCCTTGTCTGACAGTAGCTAGGATGCTGGCTCCTGAGCGAGTCCATGGACACATCTCCTTGTCTGACAGTAGCTAGGATGCTGGTCCCTCAGAGAGCCCACGTCCTTGCATTAGTCTACTTAGTCTACCTACTCTTGGTTCCTTCAGGAAATGTTGACCCTGTTTTCATGGCTGTTCTCTTGCCTGACAGAAACACCTTCAGAATTTAGAAGATGCTTGCGACGACATCATGCTGGCAGATGACGACTGCCTGATGATACCGTACCAGATTGGAGACGTTTTCATTAGCCACTCTCAAGAAGAAACCCAAGAAATGTTAGAAGAAGCAAAGGTATGTGGGCGTCTTGCCCCGGGTGACGGAATCTAATTCTCAGATCGGAGGCCTGTCATAAAGAAGACGTAATTGCTGGAGGAGGGAGTAGTGGTGCCCGCTAGCACTTAAGTGTTTGGTGCAGCGGCTTAGGCTCTGAGCACTCACAAGTGTGGTCTCATTCAATCCAAATAGCACAAATTAGAGTGAGGAGCAGAGGCCCAGAGAAGTTTCAGGACTTACAAAATGGGGCATGGCTGTGGTTGTCCGGCCCCCAGAACTTTGGTTCCAGCTGAGAACATGGAGTATGCAGTAGCATGTTACACAGTTGGAAGGACTCCCTGGGAGCCACCCCATCTGATGGCGCTGTCGGTGGTGAACCTGCTCTTCTGTTAGCCTCCCCTCCCCGTCTCCTCCCCATCCCCCTCTGAGTAACTGCTCTCTGGGTCAGTTAACATGGTGCCGGAGCACTTTCTCTATTGGATGCTTGTCTATATAGCATAGCACACTGAGTGGGAACCATGCAGACCTCCAGCACCCCCACTGTCTGATGACTTGTTTGAGGCCATCTTAATGTTGTGTTGATGGGCATTGATTTGCCCACTGCGCCCTTATTAGCATTAATTTGTTTCCGATATTTTGCTGCAGTAACGTTCCACTGAGGGATCTTATACACAAGTCTTTCTAGTTCATTTACATTATCAACCACAGTCTCTCCCCCCCCCCCCCCATGACTAAGAAAGGGTAAGGCCTCCCATGGGAGTCAACAAAGCTTGGCACATTAAGTTGAGGCAGGATCAACCCCCCCCCCCAAAAAAAGTTGAGCAAGGCATCTCACCATAGGGAATGGGCTCCAAAAAGCCAGTTCATACACCAGGGATAGATCCTGGTCCCACTGCCAGGGGTCCCACAAATAGACCAAGTCACACAACTGTCAGCTACATGCAGAGAGGCCAAGTTCGGTCCCATGCAGGCTCCCAGGAGCTTGGGTCAGCTGTCTCTGTGGGTTTCCCCATCATGATCTTGACTACTCCCTCCCCCCTTCTTATGCATAAGTCTTGGTTCACAGTTAGAAGCTTATTTTGAGGAAATAGGGAGAAGTGTGGTTCGGGGTTGAAGCTGCTGCTTTAGCAGGGCCTAGTGAGAGGGCTTCCAGCCCTTGCTGAGAAGTGGGCCACAGTCGCCCCTGACACTGTTGCTTCCCTAGCGCGACTGTTAACCTAGAATGGTAGTCTCTGCTTCAGATTTCTGAGTTCCAGAGCTGGAACCTGCGTCTGATAAGCCTTGAGAAGGGGCTGGAGAGTTGACTCGGTGGTTAGGAGAACTGGCTGCTTCTCCAGGGGCCCCGAGTTCAAGTCTCAGCAGCGGCTGGGAATGCAGCCATGACACCACGATGGGCTGTATCGGCCTGAGCCGTGTGCTTGTTCAGACTTTGGCCTTGGATCCAGTGATTGCTGTCAGTTTGCCCCTGACCAGTTTAGAGCTCTTTACCTAAAATTCCTGCCAAATACGACTCCAGCCCACGTGCTCATAGTCTTCCAGCTGGAGCCAATTAATGTGACCGTTTCTTTTCCAGAGAACTTTGCAAGAAGAGATCGACGCCTTAGAGTCCAGAGTGGCGTCCACCCAGCGGGTATTAGCCGACTTGAAAGTGCAGTTATACGCGAAATTTGGCAGCAACATAAACCTTGAGGCGGATGAAAGCTAAACATTTTATAATACTTTTTTTTACCTTGTTTAATAAACTTGAATATTGTCTTAAATGATAATTTCCCTTCTTTAAATGAAACGGAAGAAAACTTTCTTTTTTTAAATTTTTCATTTAATTAATGGAAACTTGCCTATTTTCACATGTCTTGCTTATTTATTTTATATTTTTCAAAGAAGACAGTATTCATGTATGTATTTTGCATAATGATTATATCAGTTTTAGGGGCTTTATGTCATGTTATTAAAAGCAGTTAAACACTCTTTGTTTCCACATTATCATTTTAAAGTTCTAGTTGCAATTTTCATTCTTAAGGAACCTTCGGAAGCTGGGCTACAGTGATTGGTGACCTCAGGACAGGATCCCCACCCTCCCAAGCTAGGTTTCCAATTTGTGTAAAGAAAAGTTTAGAGTGGGTGTGGCCGCGCGTGCCTTTAATCCCAGCCGAGGCCTGAGGATCTCAGTGAGTTCAAGGTCTATAGAGTGATTCCAGACAGCTAATGGAACTACACAGAGAAACCAGAAAAAAAGAAAAGAAACTTTGGACCGAGCGCTCCCCACCAAATCTGAGGGCAGAGTTTGATCCCTGAGATCCACATGGTGGAAAGAGAGAAACAGCTCCCCCAAATTGTCCTCCAAATGCACCACCCATAAAATGCAATGAAGTAGCTGCTGATACTTCAGGCAAGAAGAAGAAGGATTTTTTTCATTTTTCTTTTCTTTTTCTTTTTTCTTTTCTTTTCTTTTTTTTTTTTGAGATAGGGTTTTTCTGTAGTCCTAGAACTAGCTCTTGTAGACCAGGCTGGCCTTGAACTCACAGAGATTGCCTGATTCTGCCTCCTGAGTGCTGGGATTAAAGGTGTGCACCACCACCGCCCGGCTCTTTTCATTTTTCAAAAGATTATTTTTATTCATGTGTGTTTGCAGTCACCATGGGGCTAGAGGGTATGAGATCCCTTGGATCCGAAGGCGTTGGCAGTTGTGAACTTCAGTATGTGGGTGCTGGGAACTAAACCCAGGTCTTCTAAGAGCAGAGCCAGCTCTTCTGCCTCCAGGAGAAGTTTATATCTTTTGAGATAGGATCTCACTGTGTAGTCCTGGTTAGCCTGAAACTGGCTGGCTTTGAACTCACAGAGACCCACCTGCCTGCCTTTTAAAGGCCTTTGTGTTTCGGATATTGGTAATATCTGCACTGACGATTCATGTCAATTTTCTTACAAATGAAAAGACATATTTTAGAAATTGGGGTCTAAGTGGGGCGATGGATAGACACAGGACCAAAGAAACAACAAAAACAAAAAATTGAAATCTATAGAAAGAAAATTTTTTAAAAAGGCATTTGTGTGTGTTGGCGGGGTGGGGTGTGGAGGTCAGAGACTACTTTCGGAGATTATCCCCGTCCACCTCATAGGCTTGGGATTGAACTCAGGTTTGTCAGACTTGGCTGCACTCACCTCTACCTGCTGAGCCATCTGCTGCTCCCAAGATGTTTACGCTTTTAATTAGAGTTAGTTTTAGATTTGTAGTGTAGATCACATTTGTGATCAGATGTACATATTGATAAAGACATAGAAATCAGGCCACTGTGTTTAAAAGCAAGACTTATTTTTGAGATGCATACACTCCCAACCCCTCCCTAAGAGGCTTGTCTGTTAGTAACTCATCTGTTCCTGTGAGAAAATTGTGTGGCCAAGGCAACTTACAAAAGGAACAGTTTAGAGTCTGTCGGCAGGGGAGGTATGGCAGCAGGAAGCAGAGACTGAACTGGAAGCAGGAGAGGCTACGTACATTCTCCATACCTTCTCCCACCCACAGTGAGGTACTTCCTCCAGCCAGGCCACAGCTCCTCATCACCGCTCAAATGCCTGCACCTGCTCAAATACCTGCACAAACCACCAGTGTGTCCTGGAGTTGGAGGGTCTGTGCACGACCTTCCCAGCAGATGGCACTCACGTGCCAGAATACCCAGGAAAGTGTCATCATGTAGGAACTCAGGATAAAATGGGGCTACTTTCAGTTTAAACTCCAAGGGTCAGCATTGCAATGCAATATTTTTGGTAAATGTTTGTAAATAAGCTTAAAGATGGATGGGTATATGTTTTCTAAATTCTCAACCAAGACTTGTTTTAAGATTTATTTTTAATTTGTGTGTGCCCCACTCTGGGCTTCCCTGCTGACATAGTGTAGGTGCCTGTTGAAGCCAGAAGAGAGCATCATATCCTCCAGAGCTGGAGTTGTAGGCAGTTGGGAGCTGCTTGATGAGGGATCAAAGATGCTGGGAGCCAAATCCAGGTTCTCTGAAAGCAGCAAGCAGTCCTAACCCCTAAACCTACCTCTTTAGCATCAAGGGAGACTTTATTTATTTATTTATTTTGAGATGAGTTCTCTAATATATTCCTCTGGCTGTCCTGAGACTCGTTATATAGATCAGGCTGGCCCTGAACTCATGGAGATCTGTTAAGGGGATCTTATCTATGCTGTGGTCTGTTGTCCAATTAGAGTCAGTTTTGGTTCGAAAGGCGGGGTTTCCATTCAGCTGGTCAGGATGGATTCTAGAGTTACCCCAGACTCAAGTAAGAGCCAATGCTCCACTCCCACGCCCCTAGAGGGGAGGCAGGCCCAGAGGTGGCTAGGGCCCCTTTTCTGCTGGGAGGAGATGGAGATGGTGTGTGGTGGTGGTTGTGACTGCCTCAGGTTCTCTTTTTAACGTGAGTTTTATAATAAATGTTAGAAGACATCACTGTAGCGATCCACATGCCTCTACCTCCTAAATGCTTGAATTAAAGGTATGCACCACCAGGCCTGACATCCAAGTCAAACTTAAATTGCTGCAAGAAGATTCTAGCAAATGACTCAAGGATCTTTCTTCAAGCATTTGGCTAATGTGCTGTTAGAGAAATGAGGCTGGGAGGTAATCCAGTCAGGAGATGGGTAACAAATTAGCCTGGTCCATTCGTGAGGCTGTCTCAATAGCCCAAACCAGTGGTTAAATGCCGAGAGCCAGTGCTGCTCTTGCAGAGGACACAGCACCCATGCTGGTAGCTCGCATCCACCACGAACTCAAGCCCCAGGCAATCTGACATCCTCCTCTGACCTCTAGGGGCACCTGTACCCACACACAGAAACATATACATCATTGAAAATAAAATGTAAAAAACAAAATCCAAATCCAAACCAAGAAGGAGGTTTGGGCATGAGGGTTCTGCCGCAGAAATAGATCAGTGCTACTGTAACCATTTACTATAGAATGAATCTTGTCCCTCTTGATTGTCCTTCTACCTTCCTTGGTATGGCCCAGCCAGAAGGCCCTGCTAAACTCTGGCTGTGTGCCCTGGAGCTGCCCAACCTCAGGGTTGTAAGAAGGCAGACTGTTCTTTAAAAATTACCTGCCCCAGGCAATTGGTTTTAACCATACAAGTGAACGAAAACACAAGCGTGGGGTGATTCTGAAACAGAAAACTGGTCTGATTCAAGTAATTTCATCCTTTAGGGGTCCGCAGGGGCACCAGAGCCCCACCCGACAGTCTGTAGCACAGCCCCATCCGTGGACCAGGTAACCTACAGGAGCATCTTGTTATTGGACCCAAGGACTTAGGGGTGGAGGGTGGCTGCAGGCACCCTGGCTTCTGGGAGGGAACAGATCATCAAAGATTAAACTGTGGGGGATGTGAAAATATTCTTAGAAGGGAGTTAGCGTGGAGGGAAGAAGGCAAAGCTGCAGCCAAGCGCTGGTGCTGGGTGGAAGGCAAAGTCTTAGAAGGATCATCAGTGCATCAGTTACCTGTGTCTCCAGGGTCGGATCCGCCCCCCTCCCCAGCCCTGACAAACTGGGCTTAATAGGCCAATGTAAGAGTGAAAAATAGAGTGGGAGGGAGATTTCTTCAGTGGCTGCAATCGGAAGAGGGACAAATCAACAGGTACAGTGACCTCACCCAACCTAAGTCTGCCTTTGAGAGCGCTGACATGAGACTTAGGTTTAAATACACGGCAAGGAACATGGGCAGGTAAGTGGTTCTGATCCAAGTATGTTACTGCCCCCCTCCCCCAGCTGACTATCTCTGCCTCAGCTCCAGTCTATCCTGCATTTTGGGCTTAAAGGTATTGAAATGGTTTTGACTTAATGAAAAATCCTAAGACCACCTGGGAGGAGACAGTATGGTTCATAGAATGGTTCTCTGACTCTCATTCCATAACCCAAGCTGATTTGGATCTCACTAGGAAGCTCAGGCCTGTAGATAGATTTTTCTTTTCGGGCCACCAGATCACAAAGAGTGACCTTGAGACTTCTTATTAGTTATGAAAGCTCGGCCTTAGCTTAGGCTTGTTTCTAACTGGCTCTGAGGACATAACACATACTTTCAATCTGTGTTCTCCCACAAGCTCGTTACTTCATCTCCAGCATGCCACCCCTCCTGGTTATTCTGCATCTGGCTGGTGACTGTGTTTCTTCTTCCCAGAGTTCTCTCTGTCCAGAAGTCCTGCCTATACCTCCTGCCTAGCTATTGGCCATTTAGCTTTTTATTAAACCAATCACAGTGACACACTTTCTCTCATTGTAAAGGAATATTCTACAACACAGGCTGGACTCAAACTTTGTATCTGCACGTCTCAGCCTCCTGGAAGCTGGGATTGTATAGGTGTGCACCATGACATCTGGTGCTAATCACTTCTTATACCTTCTGCTTCCTCTCTCATCCTGCTGCATTTGGGTCAAACCCCACAAAGTTGCTGGATGTGGTGACACTCACCCCTGTGCTCCACATTCCCAGAAGGTAGGCACTCCTTCCTGGATTGGGAATCTCAGGCTAGCAAAACAAAATAAAAATCCAAGGGCCATTCTAACACTTGAACTGAGCACCAGGAGCCCCTAAAATGAGCCTGGTACTAAAAGGCCAGTGTTGCACCCCAAGTTTCAGTGAAGTAGTTTTAAGGTCTGTTACACCAGGCAGAGCAAACACCATTGCCCTGTGAACCAAAGTTCTTTTCAGAGCTGTGTCCCGTGGAAAAGTTGGGTTTTGTACACAGTTCCCTATGATGAAGATGATGCTGGGTTCA